AGTTTCTCTTATTTCGTTACACTAGTAACAAAGTCACCAACATCACACTAAAGAGAAGAATAATCGTGTCACCAACCACCAACCGTTCCCTTTTTATCATTTCCTATGTCCTTTTCATGTAGTACCTTCTTGTAGTTCACTTGGTGTAACTTATCAAAGTGTTATTCTTTGTTGTTGTTTTTTTTTTCTTATCTTAAACAATCATCACCTCGCGCGATATAATATACTACTCGTTGTCGTCGTCGTCGTCGAAGTCTCGTGTGTGTCCAGTGCGCCTGGACACTACCACCGTCCGGCAGGAAGTGTCGACTGCCACGAGGTGGACACCTCTGCGAGGCTCTGCCAGCGGCAGCAGCACCAGCGGCGGCAGCAGCAGCGGCAGTAGCAGCACCGGCGGTGCTGGTAGCAGTGGCGATAGTAGCGGCACTGGCAGCTGCAGCTGGTGGTGCACCGGCGCATCCGGCTGCACCTCGCGGCGTGAGGTGCTCGACAATACTGTTCTTTACTCGCTCGCTCTCTCTCTTTCTCTCTCTTTTTCTCTATATATGTTCTCTTCACGATTAATTATTATAGAAAAATTATTTCCCTCTAATATCTCGTGTGTATTCTCTTTCGATAAACAGTATATATTCTTATATACTTTTTGTTTTCTTTTTCTTTTAAAAGGAGGTATAAAATAAAAAAAAGAGGTGAATTCGTGACGAATAGGGTGATCCGTACCAGCGGGCTCCTCGGCGTATACTGAATATTCCGCGTGTCGCGTGTCGCGTGTAACGTCAGAGAACAGTGGCAGTCACACTAAAGGCAGGCAGCACCCGAGGCGAGCAGCAGCACGACGCGGTGGTCTCTGGTCGCGCGACTGCTTTAGGCGGCTCGCTCGACAGCCTACGGTACGGGTATATTCCAAAGAGTCTCACTGTCGCGTGCGCGCGTGCGTTTAGTGGTGGAAGAAGACGTAGCGAGAGGAGGAGAAGAGAGAGGATGTGGTGTAGTAGTAGGCTGGTGGCTCTGTGGCGGACGGACGCTCGGTGGAAACAGCAGCGCCGCGACGCGCTCCACGGGAACGGCGAGACGCCCCCTCGATACCCCGCCGATGCCATCGGCCTGGCCCGAAATCGATGCCCCGCAACGCGACGTCGTCTCTCGAAACCACCCCCGTTTTGCCCGACCTGTGCCATCAAGCGCCGCTACTATGTACACGGTGTGTCCCAAAAGTTTCCGAATTTCACGGAGAATCTTTGGTTATTCCGTGTGATTTCAAGTAGATAGATTGTGAAGGATGAGAATTACATGTGAATGATAATCAGGTAAAAAGTGAATGCATGAAAATGGGTTTTTTTATCGAATGGTATGGAGAGATCTTGTACACAGTGTGTACCAAAAGTCACCAAATTTTATGGAGAATCTTTAATTATCCCGTGTGACTTGAAGGGAATTTGTTGTGAAAGATGAGGACAGGAATGATAACCAGGTGAAGAGTGAATATACGAAAATATACGAAATCTGAATATGTAACAAGTATTATTTTGGCTTCTGTTTATTTAACGCTTTGTTAAAACAATGAATAGCTGAGGCTAACATAGCGATTAAAAAATAGTAAGACAAGGGGTTAAGCGAGGGAAATTCAAATGCGTGGGAATTCTTGTCGAATAATTAAACGAGCATTTCTCATTTTATCGCGAAGCAAAGGGTCAAGTTGTTAATTAGGTTCATTCTTCAGCTAAGAATTGAATCTCCCCAATGTGTTATTAAAATTGGTAGTAGAAGTGTTTAAGAACGTTGATTATATGAGTTGCCTTTTTATTTTTTGGTTAGATGGTTGGTTGGTTTTGAAGGTTTGTGAATGTGTTAGGTATGTATGGTAGGCAGGCGGTGTTCCTTCTTCGTGGATGAACGGATACGTGTTCTCTTTTTACAGCGGGATGCATGAATGGTGTCCCATGAACGGCGGTGTTGAGTGACACCGATCGATCGCTGTAACTAATAGCCTGTACCAATGAGGGAATGGTGTTGGAATTGGCGTTTGTAAAATTCGCCTGTTTTTTTTTTTTCACCCCCAAAAAGATGAAATTTCTCTCAACAGTGGCTAATCAGAATGGCTAATCTTTACTTTTTTTACCAACTTCCACAAATCCGAATAAAATGTCTAAAATTTGAAAAATTCAAGTCAATATATATTTCACCTGTAAAATGATCAAATTTCTATCAAACTTTACTTTTTCACAAACTTCTGAAATGTGAAAAATCTTTTAGCACCCAAACTTTACTTTTCTACTAACTTCCACGAATCCAAATAAAATGTCAAAAATTTTGAAAATTCGAGTCTCTACTTCACCTCAGAAAAGATCAAATTTCCCTGAAACTTTTCTTTTTCACAAACTTCTGAAATGTCAAACATATCTTAGTGCCCAAACTTGACCTTTTTACCAACTTCCCAAAACACTCGTATAAAACGCCTAAAACATTTACAAGATTCAAATCGAACATGAAAAATTCACTATTCGTCCTCCGGAAAGATTGATAAGCGTTACATACCGAAAACCTCGAAGCTTATTACTGCGGCGTATCGTAACTCGTGGGCGGAAGTTGTACGCGACCCATAAAAATGTACCACAGCTTTTTGCCCGGTTTTCCCCGAGTTGGCACACGGTATATTCGGCACACGTAGAATGCTCCTTTGTCGTTCCTTCTCTCCACCTTCCTACGGTACACTCGACTCGCCGACAAAATGGCTCCCTTCTGCTAAAACAAAGTGTAACAACCATCGAAGAAAAATCTAAGAAATAATCTTTATCGTTAGAATCGTTAGAACAATCTGAAAATTATCGATCGATCTCAACAAACTCGATACCGTAAATCACACGTATCTATGACGATCTCATCGCAAGGCACAATCGTGACAAATTGACCTCTTCGTCTGACGCAATCGGAGAAAGCACGTTACGTAAGATTTACTCCAATGAATTCACATCTTGCTCCCTTATCTATCTGTTCCAAACCAATTTTTGTTCTGATTTTAATTATTATAAAATAAATGGTAGAATAGAATCTTTACGAAAATGGCCTACGTTATGTTTTTTTTTTTTTATTTCGAGGTATTCAGAACTTTTAATTCCTTCGTGACTGAATGTTTTTTTTAATAATTTGCTATTTATCTATTTTTTATATAGGTACCTACATTGAGATCGATTTTTGTTCGATTGCTCAAGTGGGGCATGTGCGTTCCATTGATCACTAAAGGGTTAACTACCCTTTTCGTTTTTTTTTTTTCTAGCAACTCCATTTAATAGTTCAATTTCTGAATATTTTACGAAAATTGTTACATTATTGTGGTGTAAGTCATGAATTAAATTCTTTTACATTTTTGACTTAGATCTCTGTCATAATCACTAGCAAATTGTGTAGATGTCACTCCTCGCCTCTAGTTACTTCCGATGCGTCCGCGACAATATGGCCTGTGTGTCATTATGTCCTCTATTAAATCTCTCTTTTGTTTTATTTGCCTTCTCATCTTTAAGGGGGCAATTCTATTTGACAATTAAAGAAATATCGACAAATTCGTTTTTCAGTGAAAAACTCTACTAATCAGACATTGAAAGACCTTGCTCAACAGACAGGTGGATTCGATAGCTTTAAGTGTCTCGAATACGCACCTGAGGTACTTCTTCGCAATTCATAAAATTGTAACATTTAT